AAAGTTATAGCGTCTTGGGTTTGTTTGAAAAGTCACCTGGGAAAGGGGCGATAGGCGGGACTTCAGGGACAGGATGAACTTGGCCATGGGCTGACGCCCAGAGGGGAGGCCGTGGAGTTTCACGCTTCCCTACTTTTGTGTGCTTGCAGTTCTTCAGAATACAACTAGACGGGTGAGGTGCTGCTCCCGCTGCAGAAGTCCTGATTGTCCATCTCCATCCGGGTCCCATTCCATCTTCCCTTCTTGGATTTCGCTCTCCATTTACTGCCTCTGGGGATATACATCTCCCTCTCCTTAGTCATCTTCAAGGCACGGAAAAATTTTTTTCTCCAAAAAAGAAAATCAATTCAGGGAAACTAACTTCAATTCCTCTTATCTCTCCCCATCTACCCCATTTTTCTGTTTCCCTGCACGGCCCAAACCTCGCATCCTGGACCTGAGACGTCTAATCCCTCGTCTTCCGCTTGCTCTCCAGCTGCATTTCCACGATGAAATACCCGGCACAGTCTACTTACGAAGGAAAGATGTTCTCAGTGCAAAATTGGCTCTCCCCACTGGCTCAGCCTCTGGTGAAGGCTTTGCTGCTGCAGACACCTGAGGTGGCACAGAGCGTCACATGCAGGACACAGTGTGTATCTCCATCCATGTGGACTCCTACACACCACCAGGACCTAACATGGGGGCTCCACCCTAACCACCCTAACCACCCAATCCAACCACCTCCCAAGGCTCCACCCCCAAACACCATGATTGGAAAGTCTCACCAGCCTCTTTTTTTTTTTTTTAAAGATTTTATTTATTTATTTGAGAAAGTTATAGACAGTGAGAGGGACAGAGAGAGAGGTCTTCCTTCTGTTGGTTCACTCCCCAAATGGCTGCAATGGCCAGAGCTGCGCTAACCTGAAGCCAGGAGCCAGGCGCTTCTTCTGGGTCTCCCATGTGGGCGCAGGGGCCTAAGGACTTGGGCCATCTTCTACTGCTTTCCCAGGCCATAGCAGAGAGCTGGATTGGAAGAGGAGCAGCAAGGACTAGAACCAGCGCCCATATGGGATGCCGGCGCCGCAGGCGAAGGATTAACCTACTGCGCCATGGTGCCAGCCCCTTGCCAGCCTCTTAATACCATTAATGTAACACTTTGGGGATCCAACCTTTAACACACAGGCCGTTAGAGGACATTCAGCTTCCAGACTTCCAGTGTCATCTGGCTGCTGCTACTGGAACACGGAATCCCAGACACCTTCAGCCTCCTCTTCCTCAGCTCCTCAGCCACGTTGGACCCAGCTCCATGTCACTCTCCTGCTGCACTCGCTGGCCCTGGCCATCTGTCCCTACGTCCCGTGTCCCTCTCTCCCGACCACTAGCACCTGTTCCCTTCCAGTTCCTCTGACTCCCCTCACGCTCCCCCCTCCCCGGCTCGTCTCGTGGGTAGCACGCGCATCTGCAGGCTGGCCTTTAGCATCAAGCAGTCCGATGAGGCCCCCTCACCAATCGTCGGCACTGTGCCTGCTTCTCTGTGTTTGTACTGCTTGGAGCAGATGGCAATAGTATTTTTGTTTGTTTATTTCTCAGCAGACTCCGAGCCTCACTAGGAGGTGAGTCAAGTCTGTTTTGTTCATCCCTGTCATCCCAGCAAATAGTACCATTCCTGGCACACACAGATACTTGAAAGATATTTGTTGAATGAAAACATTAAATGACACATTCATCAGATGATTAGCAAAATTAGTATAATTACAAAATTTGAAAAGCGCTATGGAAAAAAAAAAGGCACGTTGGAAAGTGACTGCTATGAGAGGGTCACCAAAGGACCCACACAGAATTCGCGTCTCAGGAAGTGGGGGGGGGGGACCAGCAGGGGGTCAGGAAGGAGGAGGAGGGTAAACATCATGGAAGAAGTTGGTGCAGCCCAAGGAAAAGCCTCTGGGAATTAAAAAATGTAGATTTATTGATTTTCAGTTTATTTGAAAGGCAGAGAGACAGAGATCTTCCACTGGTTGGTTCAAGCCCCAGATGCCCAGCCAAACCCAGAAACCTGAACGAAACTGCATACTGGTCTCCCATGGGGGTGGCAGGGACTAGATACTCAGGACCCTGCCTGCTGCCTTCCGGGGTGCATCTGAGCAGGAAGCTGGAATCAGTGGCCGAGTCAAGACTGAAACCCGGGCACTCGTATGTGGGCTACAGGTGTCCCAAGCAGCAAGCCCCCCCCCCCCCCCCGTCTCTCTCTCACGCACGCGCGCTGTCGCTCTCACTCTCACTCGCTCTCTGTCTCAGGACTTTTGAACCCAAAAGTCACTTGGGGATCAGGGAGGGATTCGAGGTTTCCGTTAGGAATCCGTGGGTGTTCCTCGGGAGGGAGGGAGCCGCAGGAACCCCAAGCTCAGTGCCATCCAGGCTGCATCACCCAGTCGTTTGCCAGAGACCAGGGAAGTCTCTGCCAGGCTTCCTATCCCTCGCCCCTTGTAAGCAGGAAGCCTAGGATGCCTTAGAGAGCAGTGAGGACTGTGCCAGCCTGGGGGTCAGCTGAGCCGGGAGAGCTTTTCTCTGGGTCCCAAAGGGTTGCTAAGCTGCTGCCCGACCTCTCACCTTGCTGTGTGCTCCAGGCAGTGCTGGCACCAACACAACCTCAGGCCCTGCTTAACTACCTCCCGCTCAGCAGCCCTCTTGCACACGCAGCTCCGGGCCTGGCCACAGAGACGGATGCTCTGAGTGCAAACACGGCTTCCCAAAAGGCATTTCTGAGGACAGGAAATCTGAGTTCCAGGCTCCCAACAAGGACTAAAAGCCATGGAAGGATGGGGCCAGTGCTGTGACACAGTGAGTAAAGCCGCCTCCTGTGGCGCCGGCATCCCATATGGGCGCCGGTTCGAGCCCTGGGTGCTTCGCTTCTGATCAAGCTCCCTGCTAATGTCCTGGGAAAGCAGTGGATGATGGCCCAAGTGCTTGGGCCCCTGCACTCACATGGGAGACCCAGAGGAAGCTTCTGGCTCCTGGCTTCAGCCTGGCCCAGGTCCAGCTGTTGCACCATTTGGGAAATGAACCAGCGGATAGAAGATCTCTCTCTCTCTTTCTCTTTCACTAACTCTGCCTTTCCAATAAATAAATAAATCTTTTTTAACAAAAATTTTACAAAATAATTTATAAAAAAAACATGGAAGGATTACAGGTGTTTCAAACAGTCCTTGAGGTCACACAGTCCTTGAAGGCACACACACACGCACACACACACGCACACTCAGGAGAGACTTCTGAATCCCTCAGCTTTTGGCAGCCATTCCTGGGGAAGTGAGGAGTAGCAGGCATCAGTGGGAGGGTTGCTCTGGGGTGACTGCTTAATGCCATGTACAGAGTGAAAAATCAGAAAAAAAAACCCACAAAATTCCAAGAACAGTACGCCTGAACTAGTAGGCAGCCATTACAATTATGGTTAGCAATAATTTTTAATTGTTTGGAAAATGCTAATTATGTAAGGTTTAGTGGAAAAAGGAAAATGAATAAATAACTTTATATGGTAGGAAGTAAAATATTTGTGTTCCTATCCATACATTTATACTAGATAGATGAATACCAAGGAAAAAGATTAGATAGAAATCACAATTATAGTTACTTCTTGCTGACAAAAATTGTTATTTTAACTTGATTTTTTTACTTCATATTATACAATCATATTGTATAATATTGCATATTATACAATCATAAATAAACACTAAGAATCTTTGGTTTTTTATTTTTTATTTTCTTTTGCCTATTTTGGTAAAATACACATAAATCTTACCATTTTAACTGATCTAAACACACAGGTCTGTGGCCTTAACACATCCACATCCAGGTCGTCTTCATGTCCCAAACAAAACTCTGTCCCCAGCCCCCTCCGCCAGCCCCTGGCAACCACATTTCTGTTCTCTGTCCCCACGAATGTCAGGCTTGTAGGGAGCGCTTGTGAGTGGATGCACCCTCGTGCAGTATCTGCCCTTTTGTGCCAGCTTTATTTCTCTTAGCAGCATATCTCCAAGGTTCACCCATGCTGGATTCACTTTTTTTTTTTTTTTAATTTACTTGAAAGGCAGAGTTATAGAGAGAGGGAGAGACAGAAAGACAGGTCTTCCTTCCGCTGGTTCACTCCACAAATGGCCACAGTGGTTGGAGCTGGGCTGGCCTGAAGCTGGGAGCCAGGAGCTTCCTCTGGGTCTCCCATGAGGGTGCAGGGGCCCAAGTACTTGGGCCATCTTCTACTGCTTTCCCAGGCCATTGCAGAGAGCCGGACTGGAAGAGGAGCAGCCAGGGCATGAATCGGCACCCAAATGGGATGCTGGCATGCAGGCGGAGGCTCAGCCTACTGCACCACAGCCCTGCCAACTTGATTCACTTTTGAAAGCATCTTGGTGTGGTTCTTCCATTCTGTTAGGTTGTAGTGCAGATCTACAGATGTCCAAGCTCTTTAGCATGGGATTCAAGGAACTGAAATATTATGTTCACAATGTGAGGGTTCACCCCACAGAGCCTCAGGAAGCAAGGGTAAGAGGCCATGTTGGCTGAGAAATGCCACCTCCATTCTGCCTCCTGGAGCATCAAGTTGCTGAAGGTCTACCTTTCTGGAACTTTCTATACATCACGAATCTCAGAATGAGTCATCATTCCTTCCGAACCTTGGTGGGCGAAGTTTGGCTCCTGATCCTCTTCTTCCTCCAGAAGTGTCCCTGTGTGCATAGGACTTTCCCCATCTTGCTGCTTCTGCTTCTTTAGGGTCTCCCACCAGCTCCACTTCTGGTCCTCAGCTTTGCCTGGCCAGGTTGGAGACCCCCAGCCCTGCTCCACTCCCTGGGTCTTGCAAAGACCCAAAGAGCATGGAGCAGGCCAATTAAAAAGCTGAGCACACAAGGAAAGGCGAACATTGAAGGACAACTCCACTCTGCTTAAAGAGAGAGAGAGAGAGAGAGAGAGAGAGAGAGAGAGAGAGAAATAACAGTGTGTAAATGTTTCTTTCACACTCTTTCGTGCTGCTTAGGGAAGACGGACAGTTGTTTGGAAAGGGTTTAGCAACTGCTCATTTTGAGTGGCCTCTTGCGCAGGGAGCATCATGAAGGAGGAGGAATGCCTGGAAGAGAGCACTACTATCATCCAGGCGCTACCCCCAAGCCTCTGCTGTGCGCCCCGCAAGACACGCCAGGCACTCGAGGTGCACTTGCAGAATTTCTGCAGCCCTGCAGTACCATGGTCATTTCGGAAAACACGTGTGCCGGCTTGGCACCTTGCTCGAGGGAGCGGAATATAAACCAGGAGGGAGGGGGGAAGGACAATGGCCCCGCTTTTCCAGTTACATCCGTCCGTGTGCTTTCCTTCTCCCCCTCCCGCAGCACTGTTGGTGGGACAGATTTGGAAAGGTCCCCTTGGCTTCTGCCTGTACCCTGCCAGCACTCCCCTGGGGTTCCATGTTCTGGTGTTAGCCCATAGCAGGTGCTCTCCAGCTCGGTGGTGACGCGCTAGCCAAGCAGAGAGAGAGAGAGGTGCCATGGGAAGAGCAAGCAAGGTCTCTGTGCACAGCACCCGGCCTTGGCCTGGATTCCTCAGATTTCCTGGAGAAGGAGGAGGGAGCCAAATACAGAGTCTGCTCTGGGAGCACAAGTCAAGGTAGGGCTGGCAGAAAACTAGGAAGCCCAGGCACGTGTCCAGCAGCCAGCCTCATGGAAACATCTACTGCCAGGAAGATGGCAGAGGAGGAGCCTCAGCAGGTGCGCCAGGCTCCAGGCACCATCCTGGGGGCTTTCACAGACCTGGTCTCCTTTAATCCTGCCCCCAAATCCCAACAGGATCCTCTGATTTCCAGGGTCTCCAGAAAGCTGAGACTCAGTTTACCACCAAAACCGCAGTGTGGGAGCCCTGATGCAAACTTGGGGCGGGGGCGGGTAGGCAAACCTCTGAGAAAATAACAAGCAGGAATCTCAGCTACTTGATTAATGAGTGCGCTGATACATTGTGAACATTCAATTGTTGGTGCTGTGCCTTTTTGCTGTATCATGACTTGGCCCTAAAAGGTATTTCATTAAAAAAAATTACAGTTGGCAGGGTCCTTCGTCTCTAAAATGAGACAGTCATTTGGGGGTGGGATGATTTGGGAGGAGGCGAAGGTGCTTTGGAGCCAGGGATCTGAGTGTAGATCTCAGTAAACTTGATCTTGAATGAGTGTCTTCTACTTTTTTGACACCTAACATGGAAACAACACACCAGCATTAAAGTCTACAAATATACGGCATTTACCAGCACATTCATTGTAGATGCTCAGGAGATTAATACATGAGTGATTAAATATTATTAAGCTTAAAAATGCACGCCTAATTTATCAAAAAAATCTAGTATTGATAAAGGAAAAATCCAGTGATTAAAGAAGTCATAAAGGGCAAGTATTTGGCACAAAGTTAAGACACTATTAGTATCAGTGGTCAGAGTGCCAGGCTCCAGTCCCAGCTCGGTTTCTGAGTCTAGCTTCCTGCTAATACACACTGCGGGAGGCAGTAAATGACAGCTCAAATATTTGGGTTCCTGCAGAGACCTGGATTGAATTCCTGGCTTATGACTTCCACCAGTTTCAGCTGTTGCAAGCAGCTAGAGAATGAACCAGTGGATAAGAAAATCAATCAATCTCTCTCTCCCTCTGTCTTTTAAATTTTTTTTTTTTTTAAAGTCAAGTTCTCCAAGGACAGCATTTTCAGTGGGTCTTGGGCAGAGCGGGGTGTGGGCGTCGGGCTCTCACAACCTTATCCGCGTGGGTGAGCAGAGGTGGACATGACACAGGCGCTTGGAGCTGTGGCTATGCTGTTGGACTCTGGGCTGGAGAGCTGCGGCGGAAGTTCCCTCCTCACGCTTCAGGATTGAGGCTATGATTTGGCTAGTGGTTTTTAAAGTCTTCATCCTTGGTCTTCGCGGAGCACAAGGATGCCAGCGAGCTGCATGGGGTCGGGGCGGGGGAGACCTTGACTGAGGTGTGGACTCGGGCATGGGCATGGGAGAGGTAGGGAGACAGCCTGCCCAAGGGGACTGATACGCTCCTACAGGCATTGTGGTCCCTCCCCCCATGTGGGCATGGAATTCAGGAGAGGCAGAAAATCCTCTTCCCTTCTTGGTGAACTAAACTGCCTGTTTTTTAGTATTAGTTATCAATATACTCAGCTGTTGTCTTTATTGTCCCATAAAGTTAGCCTGACAGCCAAGGAGAGCAAAGGCAGCATGTAGCCTGAATTTATTAGCCAGACTCTGGTTCTCGAAATGACTGTGAAAGTTCTGGCTGGCACTCACGTAGGTTTTTGTTTTCCACACTTGCTCAGTCCTCCGAAGAAAAGACGAGCAGTATTGCAGAGGAGTAGCTCATACCAGGGGCATCTTCCTCGTCCATGAAATGTGGAGGAGGGGACTCTGAAACCTTCCTGTAAGATGGAATTAAGAGTTTAAATCCATGTGTACTAGGGATTTTCACAAAGTTCGTGGACATTATGAAATTTATGAACACCTTCATGGATTTCCATTAAGTTCAGCTTCCAATTAATTCCATTTTCCATGAACTTTTGGAAGTACCTTCCTATGTTGGAACAGCATAGCAGTGAGCAGATCAGCAGTTACCAAAATCCATTGGAACTTAAAGCAGTGATTTGCAATTCAGATCCCTGGTTCCCACCTACTGTGCTGGTTGAGAGGCTATTCCGGTGGAGCCCAGGAATCTGAATTTTTGAAAGTTCCCCTTTGTTATTCTGCTCATCCGAGATTTGACGATATTGATCCACCAGGCTACTTCTGTAGCAGTCCATATTCTAAAAATCCGGTTCCACTCTTAAACCACTGTAATCTGAAACCCACGTTTGTGTGAAGCTTAGAAATCACTTCCTACAACCTGAGGAAGGTGTCCAAAGAATGGTACCTTTTTGCTTTTCCATGCCTGTTTTCACCAGAGATAAAGACATCACCATTTCCTGGTCCCTACAGATCTCTTGGCATCAGAGAGCAGCAAGGACACCTTGGTGGCATGAGTCCAAGGCCTGGCCTGTGAACTGGCAGCATTGGGCTCACCAGAGAGCGCTGACAAAGGGCGACTCAACAAAGGGCGACTCTGGGGCCCCACCCTAGACCTCTGAATCAAAATCTCCACTCTCCAGAGTGGTGTTGTGGCACAGGGAGTTAAACTGCTGCCTGAGACACTGGTCTCCCTTTTAGGTGCTGGTTCGAGTCCCGGCTGCTCCACTTCTGATCCAGCTCCCTGCTAATGCACCTGGGAAAGCAGTGGAAGATGGCCTAAGTCCTTGGATACCAGTACCTATGTGTGGGACCTGGAAGAAACTCTTGACTTTGACCTGGCCCAGCTCCAGCCTTTGCGGCCATTTGGATGGAGTGTACCAGCAGGTGGAAGATCTCTTTCTCTTTCCCTCTCTCCCTCTCTCTCTCTCTCTCTCTGCCTTTCAAATAAATAAGTGAATCTTTATAAACAAAAAAATACTGCTCTGCTTTCTCGGGATCCCAAGGTGACTCCTGTGCACATTCAGGTCTCAGCTAGCATTCACATAGATTGCTGGTTCTCAGCTCGACTGCACTTTGCAATCATCTGGAGATTTTTTTTTTTTTTTGACAGGCAGAGTTAGACAGTGAGAGAGAGACAGAGAGAAAAGGTCTTCCTTCTGTTGGTTCACCCCACAAATGGCCGCCATGGCCGGCGCACTGCGCTGATCCAAAGCCAGGAGCCAGGTACTTCTCCTGGTCTCCCATGCGGGTGCAGGGCCCAAGCACTTGGGCCATCCTCCACTGCCTTCCCGGGCCACAGCAGAGACTGGACTGGAAGAGGAGCAACCGGGACAGAATCCGGCGCCCCAACTGGGACTAGAACCCGTTGTGCCAGTGCCACAGGCGGAGGATTAGCATAGTGAGCTGCAGCGCCAGCCATCATCTGAAGATTTTTAAAAACCATCTGTGTGTGAGTCCTATTGCCCAGGGCTTGGCAAGTATTTTTAACTCCCTAGGTGATTCTAATGAGCAGAAAAGCAACAACTGGATAAACAGTTTACAATGAGAAGACAAAGAAGCTTTGAGGAGGAATGGGGGAGGTTGGAGCAAGGGGCTCTATGCTCATGTTGACCGAGTTTGGTCTTTTTCCATAACTGAACTGAAGAAGTCATGAAACAGAAAGAACTAGACATCTTCCATAGATAGTGAGGGCCCTGAAACTGGCCCAGGAAACAGGAGGAAGGGGGAGGGGCAGAGGATGCTGAGACACCTGGGTCACAACACAACAAGGGCTTTCAGGTTTCTTTCTTTTTTTTAAGATTTTTATTTATTTATTTGACAGGTAAAGTTGCAGAGAAAGAGAGAGAGAGAGAGAGAAAGGCTTTCCTTCCATTGGTTCACCTCCCAAATGGCTGCTACGGTGCTGCGGTGATCTGAGGCCAGGAGCCAGGTGCTTCCTCCTCATCTCCCACGTGGGTGCAGGGCCCAAGCACTTGGCCATCCTCCACTGCCCTCCCGGGCCACAGCAGAGAGCTGGACTGGAAGAGGGGCAGCCAGGACTAGAACCAGCGCCCATATGGGATGCTGGCACCACAGGAGGAGGATTATCCAAGTTAGCCATGGCACTGGCCCTGGTCTCTTATGTTCTTATGCGTATTTAAACATGGTCTCTTTCAGCCCAAAGCTGGGTATGCATAGTGTGTCCATTGGAAATGATGCCCATCCATTCTGGAAAATAACAAAAGGTTCTAGGGAACACTTCAATTTTGGGAATTTCTACTCCGTTTGGGTCCTAGTGCATCATAATTCTCACAAAGGGTGATGTAACTTAGCAATGTAAAATAACCATTATGAAAGCTGTATGGAAGTCCCTCAGAATCCTAGAAATGCCATATGATTCTGCAATTCTACTTCTAGGTATATATCCAAGGGAAATGAACTCAATCCCACTTCTGGGTATGTATCCAAAGGCATGCAGAAGAAGCATCTACACTCCCACAACACAATCCACAATAGCCAGGACATGGAACGACCTAGATTCCCATTAACAAATGACGAGGTAAAGAAAATGTGGCACCCATACACAGTGGAATACTATTCAGCCACAAAAAAGGACGAAGTCCTGACATTTGTAGCAACATGGGTGGAACTGGGACATCAAGTTAAGTGCAGTCAGCACAGAAAGACAAGCACCATGTGTTCTCACCCCATATGCAGAGGCTTAAAATGTTGATTTTATAGAACAGAGGCGGGGGTAGGGAGAGGAACATGGGGAGGTTGCATAACAGGTACCCAAACTCAGCTCCATGGGAGGAAGAAGCTATAGTGCTCTGTAGCACAGAAACGTGACTAAAATTCACAGCAGTTTATCATGTATTTATAAAGAGCTAAAAGAAAGGAGTTTGACGTTTTCCAACACAAAAACATAATCAATATTTAAAGAGATGAAAATGCGACTTACGCTGATTTGATCATTACACATCTTATACACACATCGAATTATCACAATCTACTCCATCAACAAGTACCATTATGTGTCCAAAAAAGGAACTAATAATAACTATAATAAATAATAAAAATAATAATTAAAAATACTACTACTACTTGAAAAACAACCCTCACTAAGCCCTCGCCCACGCCCCAGCCCCCAGTCATTGCATCCAGCTGGTGGTCCCGCCATAGGAGTGCCGGAGCACAGAGAGCCCTGGGTGGCAGGTGGAGGGCTCAGCTCTGACTTTGGTTTGGTCACAGCTCTCATGGCGTTTTCCCGCCTGGAAATTCGAGGAGCCAGCACATTTTGGGGAGGACGAGAGAGGCGGTATGGGAGGCAGCTCTCCTGGCTAGGGCCGCCCCATGGGGCTCTTCGCCAGTCCTCGCCCCCAGGGCCCGCGGGCGCATCGTGGGCGGGGACCTGAGCAGCACTCCAGCCGCCTACGCCCAGGCCCAGCGCTGAGGACTGAGGTCCACGGGGATCCAGGGCTGTCGCTCCGCGGGTCAATAGCAGGCTTCGGAAAAGCTTCACCGTAAAAATAGCTCCAGAAAAGTGGCAGCTTCAAGGCGCCATGCTTTCGGTGGGTGGTGGCCTCTTTGTGCACCGTGGCCTGGGAGACTCCTTGGAAACACACCGCAGATTCCAGATCACAGGCAGCTGCCAGCGGGAACTAGCAGCTCCGGGGGTGCTGTCACCGGCTCTCTTCATGCCAGAGCTGGGGTGCGTGCGTCCTAAGTTGGACACAGTCCGCAGAGGGCTTTTTTATCTGAGATGGAGTCTGGAGAACCAAGAACAGCGACAGGTGTGATCTGGTGACGCCCTGGGACCTGGTTTCCTTGCCGTGAAGTGTATGGATCGGTTGATTGATTGAAGAGGCAGGGAGAGAATGAGAGCTGTCCATTCCCCAAATATCTGCAGCTGCCCTGGCTGGGCAGGGCTAGAGCCAGCGCGGGAGCCAGGAACTCATGCAGGAACTTGCTGCTGTTTTCCTTAGCAGGAAGAAGCTGGAATTGGGAGCGGAGTCAGAACTTGAACCCAGGCGCTGCAGTGTGGACGCGGCTGTCCTAACAGGTGCCAATGCCCTGCCCAGTGAAGCGCGCCAAGGTGGCCTTTAGGTGGGAGTGGGGGTAACCCTGCTGGGCTGACTGGGGAGAGGTCGCCGTCCCTGTCCGCTGAGGGTGGCTCTGAGGAAGATGCTCGGCTTCTGGCCCCGCAGCTGGTCGGCGAAGCAGAGGCGAGTTCTCTGCAGTTAACCAGGAGGCCCTGGTGCTGTGCGCTTCTGTTAGCATTTACAGCCCAGGAGGAGGGCAGAAAAAGAAATGCTGGTGAGACTGTAAGATGCTATTTCAGGACAAGAAATAGTATTCTGGGTGAACCTGAGGAAGTCCTTTCGTGAAGTTTCAGATAGAAGCAACCAAAAAAAAATTGTACCCAGTGAGAGAGCCCAAGAGGATTGGCAATGAGGGAATAGAAACAAGGTCTGCCTCTGACTCTGAAAGGCATACGCAGCAGCTCAGCGTGCAAAGCAGTGCAGGCTGTGATGTTCAGAGCCAGGCTGCCCACCGCCTCCCCACCCAGGAGCACAGAGGAAGACACACTTGGGACAGGAGCAGGGGAGACCAGCTCTAACAATATTCTTCATTTTCTGAGTGGTTCCTGCATGCAAGACGTTCTGCAAGATCCCAGGACGACGAGAAGTTCACATTTCTACAGCGAAGGACTTGCTTCTGATTTTGATGATAAGAGCTCCTACTGCTATAATTACCATGGACCAGCGACTGTACTCAACTGGGTGCTCAGTACCTCACTGAATCCCTATGACAAAGTCATGAACTAATTGGCCCTCTTGGCAGCTAAAAGCGAGGACGGTACATCCAGATCGAAGCCTGCCTTGGCCATTGTTTGCTAGGTGACTTGAACTGGTGCTGTGGCACCAATGGTGTCTTGAAACCGGTGCTGTGGCACACTGGCTTAAGTCATCGCTTGGGGAGCTGGCATCCCGAATGAGCACGGATTCAAGTCCTGGCTGCTCTGCTTCTGATTCCCAGCTCCTTGCTAATGCACCTGGGCAAGCAGTGGAAGATGATAGGAATGTTTGGGCTCCTGCCACCCACACGGGAGACCCAGATGGTGTTCCTGGCTCCTGGCTCTGACCTGGCCCACCTCTGGCCATTGTGGCCATTTGGGGAGTGAACTAGTGAATGGCAGATCTCTCTCTCTGTCTCTGTCCCTGCCCCGCCCCTACCATACCCACACACAGAGAGTGCTTCCATCCCCTGCTTTGTTCCCCTCATGCCTACAGTGATCAGGGCTGGGCCAGGCCAAAGCTAGGAGCCTGGAACTCCATGTGGGTCTCCCATGTGGGTGGCAGGGGCCCAAGCAATTGAGCCTCCTGGGATGCATTAGCAGGAAGGTGGATCAGAAGCAGAGTAGCTGGGACTCAAACCAGCTCCAATACAGGACGCAGGAGTCACAAACAGTAGCTTGGCACAGTGCACTACAATGCCTGCCTGGACAGATGGTTTCATGCGCAGACGAGTTTTAGAACCACCAGCA